TAAAGGTCGTTCTTATTATTTTCCTTCTCCTTTAGAGATAGTGTCATTCATACCATTAGTTGGTAGGTAGCCCTATCTATTGGATGTGAAGGGACAAACGTAGGAACATTAAATGATCATCGAAGGCAACATGTAATGATGCTTTAGCAATTTGTATCGGAGGGACTAGATCATTTTTGTAGGGAACTTTGAAGGGTCATCGAGGGACTATGATCTTTATTCGTAAGGGTCTTTTGCTAAAGCATCCCCACTTTCGAGGGACATGACTAATAATCGTAAGGCAACAAAAGAGGATATACTAGAGGTGCAAATGTGAAGAGTGTGTTAATTCAGTTATTTGTCTTGAGATTAGGGTTTTCTACATTCAATTATTAGTCTTGCCATACAAACCCTAATTACTAGCAGTTATAAAGTGTACAGAAAATTAAGTGCGAAAAGTAAAATTCTCAAGCTATTACATGGATTTGGGGAAGTTACATAATAATAAGAACTTGTGGGAAAGTAAATGTACGCTATTACATCCTTGGAGCAGATACATAATTAGAAAAAAAGCGAGAAAATAAACCTAAGTTATTGCAATCAATAGTGCGACCTATACATTTTATATAATAAAATTAAATAGAAAGAAAATATGAAAAAGTTTTGAAGAAATATTTAGAAGACCTAAAGTTCTGGGTATTAATATTTTGATGTTTTTATAGAAAAATAATTTAAATGATAATAATTAATAAAACTTAAATTTCTAATTGATTTTAATAATAAAAGAGTTGATTAATTAATTTATAAATGAAAAAGAAAATTAAATGTTAGTTAAAAACCTAAACCTAATTTATTAGTATTAGGAAAAATAATTAGGTTAGTTTAATGATGATTAAAAATTACTTAAGGTTTAGAAAAAGAAAGTAGAAAGGAATAAGGTTAAAACAAAAATAGGGTAAAAATAAATTTCAAGGGGTGGGTGTTGAACCCACACCCCTTAGCTTCATAGCGCCCTTCCTTTCCACTGCGCCATCGTGCTAATTGTGATAGGAAATAGAACTTGATTATTATATTTGAAACATACATGTTAATTTGAAAAATAACAAAAAAACGCAGGACGCAGGGATCGAACCCACGCCATTCACATTACACGCTTTTTCCTTAACCAACTATGCTACGCTTCCAATCTGTTATCAAAATAGAAACCAATATTTATATTATAAAACACGTGAACCAGAGAGGCGCCGGAGCCCTAGCTCCAGTTGTCTTCTTCGGCTAGGTGTTTCTTCTAACTACAAAAATAGCGCGTGTTAAAGACAAAAGATGACCCTATCCCTCTAATTTGGACCTTCTGAATCCAATGGTGGAAATGTTTTGGCCTGAAAGTGATTGTATCATGAGTTTCAAAACAAAACTCAGATTATTCCCTTATAATGGCAAGTCCTTGTCCCTGCGCTGAAGCTCACATATTATGCATCAAACATGTTTTATGATGGATATGAACAAATGTAGACGCATCAAATTAGTTAACAATGCTTAAATTAAAGGTTTGAATTTAAAAAAAATACCAAAAATTGGCGAGGATGGGATGTGGTGTTCTGGCCACAATTTTGGTTGCTTAAGAGTTTGGAGAGCTTCCTAGGAGCGCCAGGATGATGATGGAATGCTTGAACTTGATTGAGGATAGCTGTAAACAAGGTTTTGTTCTTTCCCTAGTTTTTACAAATTTTGGAATTTTTAGGAGTGTGTTCTTGAAGCAATTTCATGTCCTTGGATGTATGAACATGTTCTCTATTTATAGGCCATGAATTAGGTCAACAAACATGAGTCAAATCTTTGTATTTCATGACAAAATATTTTATTGGAAATTTTGCATGAAATCTTCCCTTTTTGAGCCAATCATGTGCCAATTAATCCCACATATTTTTCTAATTGATTATCTGATTTTTAGCCTTATGATTTGGTTCAAAATAAAAGTCATGCGCCTCATATCTTTGCTTTAGTATTTTATTTGATTTATTTTGCTTTTAGTTGAATAATATAAAAATAAAAAGAAATAAAAACCACAAAAATAAAGAAGTGGACTTAGAGGTCTATTATGAGGCCAGGAACATTTTGGACCTTAAATGATAAGCCCATTAGCCCAAAAAATCCAATTGGTTCAATTTGAGTTTCATGCATTTTCTCAAAATTTCCCAACTTGCACAAATTATAACTCACTAAATTTTTATCATATGAAGGTGATCTTGAACTTTTTAGAAACCTCAAGATGTCCCCTACAACTTTCATGCTGGTCATTTTTCCATTTGAAGATTTTAACTTGATGTAAATTGCTTTGAAAAAAAGTGTCTTTTTGTTGACTTTTAAAATGACTTGTAATGTTTTGGATCATACCTCTCAAATGAAGCATTTTTGGCCTTGAGATTAGAGTGACAAAGCTGTAGAGAATTGAATTTCCATCAAAACGGGCTTTCGTTGAGAATTTTTTGATGAAGCATGTGAAAGTTATGCTAGGTCAAAGTTCAGTTGACTTCTCCTAAAGAAAACCCTAATTTAGTATCTTTTGACTTTTGATGAATATTGAGTTTTCTTGATGAATCATGATCATCCCTTGATCAAATGATAATTTTGACCTCAAAATCTTGATGTTGACCAAAAATCTTGAAGTTTGACTATAAATTGGGTAAAGTTGACTTTTTGTCCAATATAGTTGATTTTCAATCATCTGACTAATTGACTAAACAAACTTGTGCTGCAATACTTGAAATTTTGCATGAGAACTCTTTGAATCATATGAGAAACCATGAAATCCACTTGAGACATTAGAAGTCCAATTTTCTTTGAGAAAAGCAAAACCCTAGTTGTAGGTCAATGCTTAGGAGGAGGGTTTGTCTGGTCAACTCTTGAGTAGTCTTGAGTGTTTAGGACCTTCATATGCATGAGGAAGTATCTTGAATTAATTTGTCTTGAAAAATGGGAGGGAAAATTTTGGGGTACAATAGTCCCCGAGAAGGATAACCTGATCAAAGGTGCTTGTTTTATTAACAATGTTGAGTTAATTTCTATTATTGATACTAGTGCTACGCATTTGTTATTTTGTTTGAATGTGCGACTATGCTGGGATTGAAGTTGTCTGCTATGAATATGGGTATGGTAGTAGAACTTCCTGCTAATGGTTCTCTTACTACTACTTTTGTTTGCTCAAGTTGTCCTTTAACTATTTTTGGTAAGAGTTTTGTGATGGATTTGGTGTGTCTACCCTTACACCAAATTAATGTTATTCTTGGAATGAACTGGTTGGAGTTCAAATATGTTCATATCAATTATTATAGTAAGACCGTGAGGTTCCCTAAGTTTGGTGATAGTGGAGAGTTGATGTTTTTGTCTGCTAAGTAAGTTGAAAACTCCTGGTAGATGAATCCTTGATGTTTGCAATGTTTGCATCATTGCAAGTTGATCGTGGGGCCGCGAGTGTTGAATTACATGTTGTCTATGAATTCTCAAAATTGTTTCCAGATGATATAATTGATTTTCCTCCAGAACATGAAGTAGAGTTTGTTGCGAAAATGATACCAGGCACGACTCCGGTGTCAATGGCTCCCTATAGGATGTCAGCTTCAGAGTTGAGCGAGTTGAAGCAACAATTGGAAGAATTACTTGAGAAAAAGTTTGTTCGACTGAGTGTTTCTCCATGGGATGCTCATGTGTTGTTGGTTAAGAAGAAGTATGGTAGTGTGAGGTTGTGTGTGGACTACAGACAGTTAAATAAAGTGAATATTAAGAATAAGTATCCACTCTCGAGGATTAACAATTTGATGTATCAGTTGGTTGGTGCTAATGTGTTTAGCAAATTAATATGAGGTCCGGTTATCATTTGATTCGTGTTAAACCAGATGATATTCCGAAGACAACTTTCAGAATGAGATATGGTCATTATGAGTACATTGTAATGTCGTTTGGTGTATCTAATGCACTAGGTGTTTTCATGGAATATTTGAATAGAATCTTTCAAAAGTATCTGGATAAGTTTGTGGCAGTCTTCATTGACGATATTTTGATTTATTCTAAATTAGAAGAAGATCACACTGAGAATTTGAGGACTGTGTTGCAAGTGTTGAGAGAGAAGAAGTTATATGAAAACTGTCAAAATGTGGGTTCTGATTGAATGAAGTGAGTTTCCTTGGTCATGTAATTTCTAGTGGTGGAATCGTTGTAGACCCTTCTAAAGTTGATGTTGTGTTACAATGGGAGAATCCAAAGTCTACTACTGAGTTTTGAAATTTTCTTGGTTTAGCTGGTTATTAACGATGGTTTATTGAAGAATTTTCTAAGTTGGTGTTACTATTAACTCAGTTGACTTGAAAGGGTCAAGCTTATGTGTGGGAGGTTGCATGTGAAAAAAGTTTTGTGGAATTGAAAAAGAAGTTGATGACCGCTTCAGTATTGATTTTTCCTAATCTGAGTGTGTCATTCATGGTGTATTGTGATGCATTGAAGAGGGGTCTTGGTGGTGTATTAATGAAAAATGGACATATTGTTGCTTATTGTTGCACCCCAAATTTTACCCCGAGTTTCTCATTCGCATTCATACATTGAATTTAGTCTTCATTCATCTTGGTATTTTTTCGTGTATTTTTGCATCTGTTTTCGATTTTTAAATTTTTTATCCACATGTATATATTTTCTTTTTGTCGTTAGATAAATAATAATTTATTTTTTATTTTATTACTATTATTATCATTTAATCAAACATATAAAAATATGTGTTTTTTCATTTTTAGTTTAGATCTAGTTTTGGATTTATAAAAAAATGTCTATAAAAAATATATATTTGTTTATTTTTTATTATTTTATTTACTATTTAGTTTTAGTTTCAGTTTATATTTTAGAATTATTATAAAATTGTATATACAAAAATATATTGTTTATTTTGTTTGATTAAAGGAAAATATCTTTAGGAATGGTCTATTGGTCTTTTTACAAGACCTAATAGTTTGGATAAGATTTGTAGATAAGAAGGGATGGAGATCAAGGAAAAAAAAGGCAGAAAGCTCTTCTTATTTGTATTGAATCGTCTCACCATCATCAAATTTCACGTATCCATTCATAACTCAGCCGCTAATCAGCTATTCCACTCCATAACCTCTGATCCATCTTCCACCATCTCTCTCTGATACTTCCAAACCTCCACTGTTTACTCCCTCCAATTCATTTCCCTGCTCCGCTTATCATCAATCACTTCACCATTCGAAGCTCACTCAGACACGACCCTTGCCATCTCTCTCCCGGTTCTTCATAAAACCCAATTACCGTTCTTCCATAAATTTCTACCTTACGCATAAAAGACCAGCCATCAACATCTTCACCTCTTCATTGTTCCGCAGCTACAACACATTTACAGTATTCTTCACCAACAAGAATAGCACAACGACATCTTGCAGTAACTTCAGCATCCTTGCTCCGATAATTTTGGCTTTTCGGTAATCTTTGATCCTTTTTTGTTGTTTCATTTAAGTTTAAATGATTATGGTGTTGTTTGAGCTTTGAAGAAAAAAAAAGTACTATGAATTTCCTTAATGGTTTGATGTCGTTGTGTTTGATATCTGAATCGTTATGCTGTTATGATTTTATTGAAAGAACCTGTGTGGATTTCTAAAGAAAATCAGTTAGTATGTAAATATAATGTTGAATGTCGTAAGAATAGCCATTTGATCGGTAAGTTAATTTTATCATGTCGTAAGAGAACTATTTGAATATATTTCAATTTTGTTTGAGTTCTCGACTTGTTGTTGTTGTTTGTTTTGTTTGAATCAAATTTGATTTATCCTTATGCATAATGTCAGTGTCGATGTGAATGTTTGATGTGTTGATTTATCTCTGAAAAATGTGTTTAACGGTGTATGTTTGATTCGGAATATTATAAGAGATTTGTGTCGATTACATTTGATCGGTGTATGTACTTTGTTTCAAATTCAATTGAAATAAACACCACGTTAGTATGTTTGTTTTGCTTTTGATTGAAATGGGATGATTGATGTGCATATTATGTTTCCTTCTCTATTGCGTTGCGATTTTAAAGTTTAGATTCAATTTGGATTTTGAAAATCGTACATGCCCATATATTTGAAGCTTTCAATTCCATTCACGTCGGTTCCATGAAATCACTTTAATTGGTTCTAATCTTGATTTTTTTTCGTAAGTGTTATATTGTGTTTTTTGAATTGGTTTGAAAGAGATTTTGGATGACGTTTCGTTTCATTTGAGTTTGGATTTGAAAGTGGAATATGGATGTGAGTTCTTTGGTTTTTCGGTTGCGTTTAAGCACTTTTTGGATGAAATTCGGAGCACTATTTTGTTCATATAGTTGCTTCCTGAAATGGTTTAGTTGTTGAGTTTGAATTTAATGTTGCATTATTTTGTTTGATTCGATGGGAAGGAGACTTGGATGACTTTTGTTGAACAATTGGTTTTTATTTCGAAAGATATTTCTGTTAGCATTACTTTGTTGTTTCCTTTTGCACTAAACATGTTTGAGATTGCATTTTTCGAGATTTGTTTCATATGCAAAGTAGCTGCTCGAATTTTAGTTTATAGGTCTACGACTCATTTTGAACTTGATTTTTCATATTGCAACGTGAATTTCAACTTCTTATTTCATTTGTGGTTTGAAAAACATATTTACTTTTGAGTTTATTTCTTTGAACATGTTTGAAACAATGTGTTGAATGCTTTATTTTCACCCGAGGTTTGGTATACTCTTGACTTATTTATCAGCTCGTGACTTTAAATCCAAAGGGATGAAAGCGCTATATTAATTTCTTTATATCAAGTATGAGCTTCTGTTTGGTTAGACCTTCTTTTACTTTTCTTTTACTTTCCTGTACATAGGATACTCTCTTCATCTCCTCTCATTCTTCAAGTGTCTTTTTCAAACTTCTTTTCTCAATAAATACTAAACCACATAAGCATATTCAAATACTTTTCAAAAAGACTAAAAAACATTTAACCTCATTCAAATCTTTTTGTACGCTCGAGCACCTTTTATCCTTTAAAACTTTTTTTCTTCAAATTATACATGATTCATTTTTAATCGAGATGTTATTCATTTATCTCCATGGTTGTTGACTTCTCAACTGGAGTACTAGAGGAATTCTCAAACTCTTTATTATGTTGGTGCGTAGTCTTTCTTTCCTATACCTTGTGGGAGTTTAGACGAGTCTTCTCCTTAAAAATGACGACTTGTCTCTTCTTTTAAAATCAATCAACACATAAAGCTTTGTTTTTTTTATTGAGAAGAACTACAAGTGTCCTGATCCCTTATTGCACGAAGGGGATACATTGGCACAAAGTTTCGCAACCGCGTCGGGGGCAATAATAATAAACATTTATTTTTATTTGTGAATACTTTTTCTTTTATTTCCTTTAGCAAGTTTAAGTTTAGATAACACACTTATTAATTTAGAACAAATAAAGTGGATCATGCCGAGTATTGTAGATTCTTAGGGTGTTAATACCTTCCCTCTGCATAACCGACCCCCGTACCTTGATCTCTGATATTTTATTTCAGTTTGGATTTATTTTCTCTTTTCATATTTTCCCTTTGGAAACAAAAGTGTGGTGACGACTTTCACTGATATGAGTTAAGTAAATTAATGGCTTAATGACAATTTTATGCCGCTACATTTTTTGCATGTACAATATGGCACTTATGCTTCTAGACAACTAAATGTTCATGAAAGGAATTATCCTGTGCAATATTTAGAGTTGGAAGTTGTGGTGTTTGTGTTGAAAATATGGAGACATTATCTTTTTGTCTTGAAATTTGAGGTGTTTAGTGATCATAGGAGTTTAAAATACTTGTTCGATCAGAGAGTTTTAAATATGAGGCATAGAAGATGGCTCGAGTTGTTGAAAGATTTCGATCTTGATTTAAGTTAACATCTTGGTAAAGTAAATACGGTGCTGATGCGTTGAGTAGGAAGTTCTTGTATATGTTGATGGTTATGGTGCGTGAGTTGGAATTGATTGAAAAGTTTAGAGATATGAGTTTAGTATGCAAAGAGACTCCTAATAGTGTAAAGTTAGGGATGTTGAAGCTGACAAGTGGTATTTTGGAAGAAACTCGAGAAGGTCAAAAATCTGATTTGAAGTTGGTTGATTAGTTCGCGTTGGTTAACCAAGGTAATGGAGGTGAGTTTTGAGTTGATGAGAATGAAGTACTGAGGTTTGGTTATAGAGTATCTGTTGTAGATGTTCCATAGCTTAAGAAGAGTATCCTTGAGGAGGGACATCGAAGTGGTTTGAGTATTCATCCCGGCGCTACAAAAGATGTATCAAGACTTGAAGAAATTGTTTTGGTGGCCCAGTATGAAAAAGGAAGTCGCGAAATTTCTGTATGCTTGTCTGACTTGTTAGAAGTCAAAGATTGAACATTATAAGCCTTTGTCTCTGATGCAATCGTTGAATATTCTAAAGTGGAAATGGGATAGCATTTCTATGGATTTTATGTCAGGTTTTCCGAAGAATTCTAAGGGCAATGATTCTATTTGGGTGATAATGGATAGATTGACTAAGTCGGCTCATTTCTTGCCGATGAAGATTAATCACTCTATGGAGAAGTTAGTTGAGATGTATATCGAAGAGATTGTGAGATTACATGGTATACTTTCGAGTATCATGTCAGATATATATCTGAGATTTACGTCGAGGTTTTGGGAAAGTTTGAATAAGTGTTTGGTACTAAGTTGAGGTTGAGTTCTGCTTATCATCCACAGATGGACGGTCAGACGGAGAGGATTATCTAGTCGTTGTAGGATTTGCTGAGAGCTTGTATGTTAGACCATGGAGGAGCTTAGGATAGCCTCTTGTCTTTAATTAAGTTTACGTACAACAAAAACTAGCATGCTAGTATTGGGATGACACCATATAAAGCATTCTATGGTAGGAGGTGTAGAACTTTATTATGTTGGTATGAGTCAGGAGAGAGTGTTGTGCTCGGGCTTGAGATTGTGCTCGGGCCTGAGATTGTGTAAGAAACAACTGAGAAGATCAAGATGATCCAAGAGAGGATGAAAGCTTTTTAGATTCGTCAGAAGAGTTATCATGATAAGAGGAGGAAGGAACTTGATTTCCAAAAGGACGATCATGTGTTCTTGAGAGTTACTATGGTAACTGGTGTTGGTAGGGCTCTAAAGTCATGAAAGCTGACACCGTGTTTTGTTGGTCCATATCAGATTTTAGAGAAAATATATGAGGTGGCCTATCAGATTACTTTACCGTCGTCACTTGCAAATCTTTATGAAGTGTTTCATGTATCTCAATTTAGGAAATACATTTCTGATCTGTCGCATGTGATCCAAATGGATGACGTACAGGTGAGAGACAACCTGGTTGTTGATGCGTAACCCGCGTGGATAGATGATTGAGAGGTGAATCAGTTGTAGGATAAAGAGATTGCCTTGGTGAAGGTATTGTGGGGTGGACCAGCGGGTGAAAGTTGGACTTCGGAGCTAGAGGATCAGATGAGAGAGTCGTATCCGACTCTATTTTCCTCAGGTAATTTTCGTCATGAAAATTCTTTAAGTGAGGGAGAGTTGTAACACCCAAATAATTAGAATATTTATTTAATTAATTTGTTGTGAGTATTTGTAAATCATTGTTGAATTATGTGATGTATTGTTGAATATGGTGTGTTGTATATGTTCTGTTGTTGGGTATTGTTGAGGGTATGATGGGAAGTTCATATTAGGGGTCTAAGGACTAAACAAGGAAAATAGAGAAAAGTGTTTCATTGTATACAATCGTTTAAGAATTGGTAGAGTGTAGCAGAGCTAGGGCAGGAGGAAATAACGGGATTTGTGGTAGAACTTAAAGAGGAAGACAACTTGTTAGGAAAAATATAAGATAAGTGGGTGATCATTGTTATTATAATTGATATGGGGTTTAGATATATGTAGGTTGTTTGGAGTTTTGTGATGAATTGATAATATGATGAATCTATGGTGAAATTGTTGAATAATTGATGTTGATAATACCATGATTTGATGTATGTAATGCCTATTAAGATGTGTTGTTGTTGTATGATGAAAACATGTTGAGTTATATGAGTTTGGGATTGTTCTGGTATGAAATTGCATGAGAAATTAAGATTGAACATGTGCAGAATTGCAACAGGGAATCCCTGTTTCGCATACAGCGTCAGGCGAGCCACATGCAACGGTAATACCCCAAAGTTGTCCTACCATTTCACCTTTATTTGGCTTACACACTTCTCATTCCATCTGTACACATCTCCATTAGGTCCTCTAGCGCATCATGCATTCATTAACAACAAGGTTTGGTACTTGAGGTCAATGGTCACAGGATTGGGGTTTCACTCAGGCATCAGTGTTTCATCTCTTTGCAACCTTATCTCATCTAAAGACTCATGGGATACAAACAAAAGCATTGAAGGTCATCTTCATGTGCTCATCATCTCCATAGGGATTAGAGTTATTTTCCTAATCACGTGGAATTCAAGAGGGATCCGTGAAGTTTGTTCATCAGTTCATCTTATCATCAAAGAGATTCCATTAGTGCTTGAGGTACGAGATTATGGAAGACATCTTGGTGTATTCATGGAACCTTAAGCTTTTGTTCGAGACATCTCTTTAATATGCAACACGAGGAAGCTATCATTGAAGAATATCTTATCCATTGAAATATAGGTCTTCTATTGGTTTTTCTTCCTTAAGGAAAGTTCACTTATTGTATTGAATCATAAAGCACATGGCTAGGGTTTTCATACAAGAAGATGGAAAGATAGTTTCACTTGGATTTTATTAATAAATTAGGGTTTGTGGACATCAATGTGAGATATGATCTCATATGAACACTTGGATTTACTTATGCCTAAACTTTCCTTGGGGCTTCATTTCAAGTGCTTCAAGATTAAAACCTAGTGTTGTCTTGTGAAACATTAGAGTTTTAGATCAAAGGTCCTAGAGATAGTCAAGCCTATTCAATTACTTGAGGATAGTTAAGGTGATTCATCCCATTGTTGAAAAGTCAAGGCGTGGAAATACATAATTGTCTATTCAAATGCAATTATAAGAGAACACATTAGGAATTCGCGATCAATTTTAAAAGGAATATAACTTTTAATATTTTAAAGAATGTATCATTTGAATTCAGGGGTTTCTAAAGTATGCTTCTTTTACAAAATCCAGCACCATGTTTTCGCTATGAGAAGTTAATCCTATTAGCATTCCAATTACATCTGATACATCAAGATTTCAAAAGAATATAATCTTATTCCAAATCCCTTAAACCATTACAAGATTAAGCCATTACAAAACTGCTCATTGAAAGGAATAATTCAAGACATGTTCGTTACATATTCAACAAAATTACAAAGACAATAGAAAGGAAAAATTCAAATTACATGGAAAATCTATCCAAAACACATCCAAACTGTTACAAATGTTATGAAAGATTTCAAGTTCTATTCCATTTGAGCCAAAGATCCTAGAATACGTAATCTTTACCCAACTTTGTCTTCCATCTTTTGTCCTCAAATCATCATCAACTTCATGATATGCCATGCTTTAACCAATCTTCAATGCTCCATAACCAACCTCCACCTTCAATCTTCTTCACGTTGCTCAAATTCTAAGATCTACATGTACCAACATTTCATGCCCTTCTTGTTTTAAACTTTCTTCATGATCCAAAAGCCTTCACCATTTCATAAACTTCATGACTTGTTCTTCAACAGCAAACAACCGCCCTGCACCAGTTTCTAGAATGACAAAAAGAAGAAACCCTAAAAACAACCGGCATTAGTTCAAGCGCCAGTTCTAAGCTTAGAAAAGTAGAAAATTTAGAAATCAGAAAATGAAAATGGAAAATTAATAGAACTCTCTAATTTCCAGCTCATATTAAACCAATTTACCAACCTGCATAATTTCCTAACAGTTTTTGGCACAACTAACTATAAACAGAATCAGGTATAGTGTAAAAAAATCCAACAGAACTTCTCAACAGAAATATAACTGAAAATACCAACATAATTTTCTAACTGATTCACAACTTTTCCTAACCATTTCCTAACTGAATCTCTAACTATCCTCCTAACCAACTGTAACTAACTCTCAATCTCTCAACTGTCAAAAACCAGTCTTAACTAACCTGTAACCAACTCCCATTCTCTTAACAAAATTTCTAATTGTTTTAAAAAAAATTAATCTACCAGCTCATTCTAACTGTCCCAAGAAAAAAGTCTAACAGAATTACAAATCTCCTAACAACCTCTAACGACTTCTAACCAGTTTCCAACAGAAGAAAAGGGAAGGAATCAAAGGATATAACAGAAAAGGAAAAAAGAAACAGAAAAGAGGGGACTCACCAGAAACAAGCTCTGAAAATTTTCTCTCCCCCTCTCATCTCCATCATCTTCAACTCTACATCACCCTAACTGAATCTTTCTCTCTCGAAAATTCTCCAAAATGATATCTTCTCTCATTTCTATGAATTGAATCTCTATGCACACAACAAAACCTTCACACATCAAGAATCAATGCTTCATTCTGCATCTTTTCATTATCTTCACGTTCTTCGTAAACTTTGATACAACAACTTCTTCAAACTTCATTGTATCATCTTCAACTCTTAGAACTCCGTCTGGATCTTCGACCTTCATCACTGAATCTGCAACACATCAAAAATTAACACAGAATAATTAAAAAGAAGAAATTGAGAAAAAAAATAAGACCGAGAGCAAAAGATGAAGAAGTAAAAGCAGTGCAGTTATACTATTTAACTTTGGTAGGAGCAAAGTTCTACTAGGCTCAGCGTGTTCTCCATTCAACCTTGAAGGATCACCGTAATCGCTCCGTTAGGTAAGATGTCATCTTCCTCTTTCGCATTTGATTCTCGTTGTCATGGTATATATTGCACCTTTGTGAATCCGCGATTCAATCAACTATCTTCACGATTAGAGTTGTGTTTGGAATCAGAGATGGAGGTTAGGTCGATCAAAGAAGAGGTTGGGACCGTGATGTCAAGGCGGTATTGAATGAAGATATGATGAGGGAGGAAGGAACTGTGAGGAAGATGATGGTGATATGGAGGTTGATGGATGTGCGGAGGGGTTATCAGCAATAAGGAATCGCGCTGCTGTGAGCAAGGTGAGGAGGAAGAATCTTTTTAGGTCAAGAAGCTGAATAACCACTCTCTGAACCCTAATCCCTTTCCCTCTAACAACTATTTGTTTCAATTGGACCGATGGGGTATGATAATGGGCCGAACCGGATTGGCTTAGGCCTATTCCCATTTTTTTGGAACCTGAAAAAGGTACAAAAATCCAAATTGGATCGCAATTGCTTATCCTTAGGCCAAACCTTGTTTTTGACAAGCTGAAGTGTAAGCAAAAAAAAAATTTGAATGGAGCTGTTGGTGAACTGGGCTGGATGGCATCACCCCCTAGGCTTGTTTCAATTTGTTTGGTCTTAAAGAAACAAAAAAAAAGTTGTATTGGACCTTAGCAGTTTGGGCCCTGGATCCGAATTGCTTACTTCAATGCACCATCAGATTCCAATTAGCACCCTCCTGGATTTAATAGTTCTTTGATAGGTTTAGTCTTTTTTATGTTAATTTTTGTCAATTTGATACATGATAAAAGCAATATAAAAGACAAAAAATAGTAGAGCATAATAGAATTTTTTAGGAATTAATTCTTTAATTTTTCTAGAATTTTCTTTACATAAAAAACTAATAAAAAATACTTCTTTTCCTTTCAGTTTCTAAAAAACTAATAAAAATATTGTTCTCTTTTAGTTTTTATCCATGTTTCCATGTCGCTTTGCAATGTTATATTTTGACGCGTTTGTTCATTGTGCAAGGTACCTTTTTGCTTTCGGTTATATAGCGTAACAGGTAGTTATGTAATCGAAGCATATGCTCGCTTCTGATGCGACACGCCTTATTTCTCAATGTCTTAAGAAATTCATATTGTATTATATGTTGTCTTGATACATGTGATAATTTATGAGCTTTGTCCAGGAACTTCTGATTACGCCTTGCATTTGCATCACATGATTGTTTTCATCTTAGTTGGATATCGATTATGACTTTGTTTGTTTCTTGGTGAAGCTTGCTCGACCCGCACTCCTTGCTTCACCGGTGCTTTCGTCTGCTCTTGACGATTTGCTTGCTTTGATAGTCGCCGCTACTACCTTCTTGCTTCTTCGCATTTTATTAAATTTATTTACTGCTTTTCTAGATGTCATGAGATGTAGGATTTTATTGATTTCTAGATACCATGAGAAGTAGGAAATAAAGAGCGTGCGCTCGAAGTCGCTGTTTAAAGACCTATAGCAGGCATTCCGCATTTCATTTGCTATATGTGTCGTGCTTGTGCTTGTTTCTTTGGTTGTTGATCAATGAGTCACTAAATTTAGGAATGGAGATCACGACATCGCTCTCAATGCATGCTCCCTATAGGATTTTATCGCTTTCCTTTATTTCTTATTGATTGATGAGTCACTCAATTTAGAAATTGAGATCACGACTTCGCTCTCATTACATGTTCCTTATATGATAGTTTTGTTAGACTTTCTTTGACATGCTAACCTAGATAGGATCTCTCTAGGTGTACTCTCTTGAGTTTATTAGCTTGTTTTCTTTATCCTTGTACATACCATGTTCCCTTAGGACGTGCCTGCTCCCTTCCGACGCGAGTTAGACCTTAGGTTGTAAGCCATGCATACTAACATTAGGTAGACGTTTCCCTTTTGTTATTCAAAACCTTAGGACTACCGTTGTATGATAACATTAGGTTAGAAATAGGCTAGTCTCCTTTAGACTCTTTTCTTACCTTTTTGCATCCTTGCATATAAAACTAAAACCATTTTCTTTAGCAAATCATAAAACACGCTAAACAACTTAAACCCTTTTTCGAGGCAACAAAAACACAAACCAATTCAAACCTTTTTGTGCGCTCAAGCACCCTTTTCTCAGAAAACCCTTTTCAGGTAAGGACATGATTAATTTACTTCTGTGCCAACGCTTAAATTGTTAGAACAATGTTTGAATCTACTACCCTATATTTGAGTTTTGATGATAACAAAGTGAAAAGATATAGTATTTATAAGTTTCATGAATGAACTATCTGCTGCCTAAAATTACTATGTTCTGACTTGCAGATACGCTGATTAATATAAGCAAGATCACATCTATTCAGCATCAGAACTTGATTTCAGACACCAGCATCAGAAGTTGCTACATCAGAACGTCAAAATCAGATGATCAACTCACGTACATGCTGAAGCCTGATGAACAAGACTGCGCTTAACACTCTGATACAGAAACACAATAGTTCATCAGCAGTGAAGCAGAATCAGAATGAGCCAAGCCAGAACTTGCATTAAGTAAGCAACGGTACTGTGCATTGAAAGCAAATTAATTCCAACGGCTTCATTCCAGACAAGATCTGCTCAATAAGGAAAGTTTGTTATTAGCATTGAATCAAGAATATTGCATCCAACGTTCATCATCTCAGTGCTATATAAACAAAGCTTTGAAGATTGAAATGGTTAATACTCTCCAAATCTCTACACGCACATAAGCTGAACCATAATCTTCGTTCTAC